TTGGTGGCACAGTGTGTTAAACAGTGGACTGCTAACCAAAAGGTCAGTGGTTCAAACCCACTAGTCACTCTGGGAGAAAGATTAGGCAGTCTGCTTCTGTAAAGATTTACAACTTTAAAAACCCTATGGATGAGAGAGGTTTTCATGGGTTAAATGGGACTGAGGTAAATAGTGATGCATGCTCAACCTTGGAAAAACAGGGCTCTGTGATATAGGGGTCAAGGCATAGTTTGAAGAGGGGAAATAATACTAAGATGCTTGACTGTCTTATGTATATTGGTTTCCCTTGCCTACTATTGTAATATGGACACTTGAGTTGCATAGAAAGGAATGTCAGAAAACATGATTCCAGAAAGCTTGTGAGCTTGTCTTCAGCCTATAACTGACTGGAATACCTAAAAGGGTTTCTAGAACTTGCCCAGTGAAATCCTGCGGAGCCTTTGCAGTGTATAGGACCTTAAGTGGAATCCTGAACCTCATCCAGAACCTTTAGAGGTGGGACATTCCCACTAGAAAGGATAAGCAGACCAGCCTGGAACAGCTAGAGCGACAGAAGATACATCTTCAAAGAAAGATCATCAGGAAAAACCTAAAGCAAAAATGGCAGTATGACTGGCTACTACAAGAATAAGCAAGTTGTTCGCCGGGAAGCCATCAAGGCAAGCAATCAAGTCACTATGGGTCAGAACCAACTGGATTGCACTTAACAACAACAACCAACTTCTTTAGTCTGAAATTCATCAAACGTGCAATCAAGATGTATTGATAATTACTGGTGATTAGAATGCAAAGTTTGGAAATAAAGAGGGATCAGTAGTTGGAAAACATGACCTTGGTGGTAGAAACGGTACTGGGGATCACATGATAGAATTTCGCAAGACCAATGACTTCTTCATCGCAAATACCTTTTTAAACAACATAAAAGACAACTACAGACATGGGTCTCTCCAGATGGAGTGCACAGAAATCAAATTGACTACATCTGTTTGGAAGAGACGGTGGAAAAGTTTCATGTCATCAGGCAAAACAAGACCAGGGCAGACTGGAACAGACCATCAATTGCTATATGCAAGTTAAGGCTAAAACTGAAGATAATTAAAACAAATCCATTAGAGCCAAAAATATGACATTAAACATATCCTACCTGAATTGAAAGATCATCTCAAGAATGGACTTTATGCGTTAGGTACTAATGACTGGAGACCAGAGAGTTGTTAGATGAGAAACAAAAGAAAACAAAAGATCATTAAGAAGACAAGAAAGAAAGAGAAGACAAACATGGATGTCTGAAGAGACTCTGAAACTTGCTCTCCAGCATAGAGAGCAAATGGAAGAAATGAGGAGGTAAAAGAGTTGAATGGAAACTTTCAAAGGGCAGCTCAAGGAGACAAGGTCAAGTATTAAAATGAAATGTGCAAAGACCTGGAGTAAGAAAACCAAAAGGGAAGAACACACTCAGCATT